AACATAATCTATATTTTTGTGTTATCATCTACGTGACTGAAAACAGATCTCTCATCTCTAACAAATAATTAAAATTATAATGACACACAGTAGGGGATGTTGTCCTGTTTTGTAAATTTTATAAGTAATGGGGGTACCTGAGGTAGGCGGGGGGCTCGGTGCTGATAGAAACTGCTTTGTACTTTTCGTCATTTCCTTCAAGAATCTCCTCGACCTCAGAAGCCTTCAGCAGGGTCACGCTGGTGGCCAGCTGAGTGTAGCCATGGTCTGAATGAGAAGAAAGAGGTTGTTCAAATCAACAAAGAAGCAGCAGCCAATGAACTGAAGGTGAGATTGAGCGGAACAAATAAAACAGTGTCAGATTACATAACCGTCACCACATCTGTAAATAAAAAAAAGATTAAAATCTGTAATTCTGCAAAAGCAAACAGATGAACATGAACACTTCTGACATTTAAATGAGTTATTGTTGGAAAACTGTCACCATCAAGGTACTGGTCCTGTCATAAATCCTTTTGTGGGCAAAATCACATTCAATGCAAGAAAGATTAAATGACATAAGTGTCACTTTATTTCAGTTTAGACAAATTATGAGTGCTGTGAGAAAAAAATAAAATGTAAGCAGAAGTTCAGCTTGGTTGACTCAGACTCTTTGTGTTCTACCTCTTCAGTGCCCCCTGCTGGACTGCAAGCAATTTCTGCATAAATCTGGAGAGACCCTCAGAGGAAACCGAGCTTTTCTCTACTGACCGTGTGATGACTCCACGATTTTCTTTCGTTCTTCTACCGACGCCAGTTTTCTCCATAATGACGGGTACCTTTTATACAAGGAGCCTCTAAACATGCGAAGGTAGTTTCCCACCTGGACAAACAAAGACATGGACAAGGCGATCATGAAGAGAATCTCAATAACAAGTTTTCACATTTAGGTAATTTCTTACTATAAAAAAAAAGAAGTTTTTTTGTATTGTAGTGTATTTTGTATATTTTATACTTTTTATGGGGTATATATTATGCCCTGCCCTTATATCGGGTTGTTCATATGCCAGAGTAAAGCCAAACCAAAAGAGATTCAGGTCTCATTATTGCTGAACAGTGCAAAAGTAAATATAGCAGCAGGAAATGGCCTGTTTCGATTTATTCTCCAACCAGAAACCACAGGTAGAAATAATGATGCTCTCTCACTCTGCATAACACTGGGGTGTATATGTATGTTATTGGGATTTGTAATGGCATGCTTCCTACTACAACAGCAATATGGTGATATAAGATATTGACAACTAATACACGTTTTGCATTCAAATAATTTAAAACCATTGTTAAATTAACCAACAATATGTTGGTTAATGGCTAACAAAGGAATAGATAACAGAGACTGTCTTGATGCATGCTAAATCATCCAGTAAATCCCAAAAGGTTGATTCTGTTCAACTGGACGTAGCGTTTTCAGTGGGAGAAACATTTCGTCACTCACCTCACAGCACGGTCATTCAGTGGGCTGATTTTAGTTAGTGTGCAAATGTGCTGTTTATACGTTTGGGGAAACCTGCAGTCAGTTGAGACTGAAGAAGTCACTTGGATGAGTGACAAAACATTTCTCCAACTAAAAACACTACGTCCAGATGAACAGAATCAACCTTTTGAGACATAACAGAGACCGTATTCGTTTGATAAACACAATTTTTTCTCAGCAACAGATTCCTTCAACCTCGCTGTCTGAGGGAACACTACAGGAGGTCATTCCTTCCTGCTTCTAACAGACATATGGACAACTCAATTTCCCTCTGGGATCAATAAAGTCTCTGATTCTCATTGTGAAATGCAATCATTAAATGAAATGACAGCCCCATTCTGTCATTTTAGTCACCAAACTGTCATGATCCCTAAATATGTAAATATTAAATTCAATCAGGACTATTGATTGACTGACAATTAGTAGTTACACCATTTCTCTGGATATTTTTTTGTCATTTCTGCCCTCCATTTGTGCCAGGAAAACAAATATGCATTATCAACAGCTGCTTTTTTTCAGCCTACAATGTGCATGTTAAAGACACGTTTTTAAAGGCCTTGTTTCATGAATGCAGAAAAATCTTAAGCTTCCAGAACAAACTTGCAACTGTTCATGAAGATGTTTCTAGCTAAAAGCTGGAAAGGTAGGATGTAGGAAAAGTACTGGAAAACACCTGCCCTGCCAACAATGAGCCCTACAATTTTACAACGGTGCAACGTTCATTTAAGCTACGTAACTCCGAACAGACCAACAAACCCGTAAGAACACTGAAGTGTCAGGTGATACACCATCTTGAATTACAGACCCAGAAACGACACAAATCGAGTAAAATTATCTCTTTTGTTATATTAAACACCGCTAACTACCCAGCTGATTACTAGCAGTTCGGGAGCAGAAACCGAGCAAACATCCGGGTGCAAGTTTTCAAGTTAAATGTCAATCTGAAACACCAGAACATAGGTGGACTTTCTTCCCCGGTGGTAAGGTTCTAAAATTATTTAGCAACAGATCTGAAATCAATGAATGAGCTTCAGCGCTACTGGCGTCGTTAGCTAAACTATGCTAGGCTAAGCTAAGCTAACGGATTGGTCACCAGATTAAACGAGGCATTATCCGTTCAAACACATAAAAATTTACAACAACAGACTGTCGAATACGTTAAATACTGACCTCCGATCCGATCATGTAATAGTCTCCATCCTCCTCGAGCTGAAATTTTACCGGTTTTTGTCCAAACGTTTTGCTCAGCGCCATACTGAAATAACAAAGCTCTGTGCCACTGCGCAGGCGTACGTGACGACGAGCTCGTTCTGTCCCAGTTAGATGACGTAGAACATACGCGTCGAGCAGCCTATTTGAATTTTTTTTATGTTTAGTGAGACAATTTAAACAGCTCTGTTTAGGTGTCACCGCATCGCAAATCATCCCAAAAACACAAAAATAAATGAAATAATAATTTTCCATTGACATGCTATGAAAATGCTACATTTTACAAAAGAAGACCCTAAATATGACCATGGTAATAATCATACCTCCTGTATCTTACACAGGAGTTCATGTTTAGCATTTTTGAGTGTGTTAAACAGCTTTATGATGAACACCATCTTGACCCCTTCCAGTTTGCCTATAGAGCAGGGAGAGGTGTGGAGGATGCTGCTGTCACACTCCTGCATCTCTTGTATAAGCATCTTGAGGCCCCCCACACCCATGCAAGATTATTATTTGCTGACTTTTCATCTGCATTTAATATAATTCAACCCCTCTTACTTGCTGACAGGCTCTACAATCATTTCAAGCTTGACACTAGTCTGGTCGGCTGGGTGACAGACTTTCTGACTAATAGGTCACAATGTGTGAGGGTAATCATGTCTTTTCTGATGTGCTCTCCTCCTCTACTGGATCACCCCAGGGTTGTTGCCTCTCTCCCCTTCTGTTCATTCTGTACACAAATGAGTGTCGCAGCAATTTCACAAACAGACACATCCTGAAGTTTGCTGACGACACAGTGATCGTCAGTCTTCTAGTGGGGGACGAGTCAGGCCATGGACAGGTTGTAGATGATTTTGTGAATTGGTGTGATGAGTCCTTCCTCTCACTTAATGTGTCAAAAACTAAAGACATGATTATTGATTTTAGGAAGTCCTCTTATAGCTCATCACCCACTATCATTAAAACTGCCGATATTGGGATCGTTGAGAGTTATAAATATCTAGGTGTGGTACTTGACCATAAACTGTGTTTTGAATCTCATGCTGATGCCACTACTAAAAAAGTTCAACAAAGACTGTTCTTTTTAAGGAAAATGAGATCTTTTAACGTCTCATCTGAGATGTTGTCCTTGTTTTATAGAAGTTTTATCGAATCTGTGATGTCTTTTTGTATCGCTGCCTGGTTTGGTAACCTGACGGTGAAGAATAAGAATCGGTTGGGACTTCTGGTAAAAACTGCTAGCAAAATTTCAGGGCGCTGGCAAGATGGACTTTTGGCCATTTACAATAGAAATGTGCTTAGAAAGGCTCATTCTATTATTAATTGTGTGAACCATCCACTTCACAGTGAGTTTGAGTTGTTGCCTTCCGGCCGCCGTTTTAGAGTACCTCCGAGGAGGACTAAAAGACTCCAGGTCTCTTTTATCCCTACTGCGTCTTGTCTCCTTAATGGCAAATAATTGTCCTTGAATTTTCTATCATTATTATTGTTATTATTGTTTTATAGTATTGTTCTGTTTGTTTTTATCCTCCTGCTGCTAAACTAATTTCCCCTTGTGGGACAATAAAGAAATTGAATTGAATTGAATTGAATGATGACATCAGTCCATGATTTCCAGTTTGAGGTGACACATGTAGAAAGCACTCAGGTGCGTCTCATCAAAGAGGACACAAACACCTCATACTAGCTGTCAGCATGGTGGTGGAGGGCTAATGACTTAGGCTAGTTTTGCTACCACGGGCCCAGGGCCCCTTACAGTCTTTGAGTCAACCATTAACTCCTCTGTATGAAATGCCATCTTTGCACAGCAGCAAATCTACAACACAATGGCTGAAAAAGGAAAGAATCAAGGGGTGGCAATGGCTCAGGCCACACCTCAACCTGACTGAAATGCTGTGGTGGGAACTTAAGAAAGTTATAAAAAAAGAGCGGGCCAAAATTCCTTCACAATGTGAGAGATGGATAGTCATTTAGGAGATAAGCTCTTAAAGTTATCGCTGCTACAGGTGGTTCTACAAGTTACTGAAGTTTTTCCACACAGTGCTTCTAGATTTTGGCTTCATTATTGTTAAATAGAATTTGACATGATGTAATATGTTGGTCATCAAAAGCTCTGTTTACCTCAAGTTTAATACCCAGTAAGGGCCAGATCAGTTTTATGTTCCGATACCTAAAAATCGACCAAGGATGTACTGTTTTAAAAAAACAAACCAAAGAAATCATGAAAGTTTATAGAGGTTCTCCTTAAAAATAAGCACAAAAGAGACACAGAAAGTCCTTTTACTTTTATAAACTTAATGTTTATTCATATATACATGAATATATTAATCTATAACCAAGAAAGGAGAGAATGTACAATGCAAAACAAAATCTTTATATACAAATTAATAAATAAACAAAGACAATCAAGGACAGTTTCTGTTTTCTACACAGGTTTTGTGTTCTTGGGGAAAGTAAAACAAAGAAGCAGTTAGAAAAAGTTCTGAAATCTTTTTGTTAAAATGGGAAATGGCACCCGAGCACAGTTCAGGGAACAGAATAAAAAAATTAAAATACACACACACGCACACGCACACACACGCACACACACACCAGCTGGTTTCCAGTTTGTTGTATTTTTTCTCCTTGTAAACGCAGCCTTTTTTCTTTTTTTTGTTCAAACTCGCACAGAATCAGGTCAAATCACAAAAAGGTATGTCACTGTCAGCACGAGCTACAACGAAACACAGACTGGTCCATCACGTCAACCTCACCAGCACAGAAATGCTCGCAGGGTCAGGAAATTTGACACAAAGGTCCGCGCACTTACACAAAGAGATGGAGCTGCTGCAGAAAACCTGCTTTCCGATTACTCCAAACATCCAGAAAAAACAGGACTCAAAGTGTGAAAGTTTCGTTCCAACCAAACAGTACAGAGAAGGAACTGATGCTGCATTCAGGTCACGTTTGGAAAAGTGAAACTCTAAGGCTGGGGATGTTCTGTTTTGCTTATTGTCAGCCGAATGTGGATTTATGTGAAGGGGGAAATGGTTCAGAAGCAGACTAATGCTTGGAGGTTTTGATCTTTTCAGTGATAGATGTTGACAGTAAGACAAATAGTGATTATAACACAGCCTTATGGTTTATAAAAATGATTGTTTTTGTCAGATTTGTTCTCTCATTTATATTTATGTAATCAATTACTGACATGTAGGAGACAATAAAACTATTTTTCACAGAAATAGCGTGAAATTTTCAAGGTCCTGTTGTGTAAAGAGGAAGAGAAAAGGCTGCATGCTGCACTGATTGGCTTGGATGATATCACAACAATATGTTGGTTAGCACCATTGCCTCACAGCAACAAGGTCCTGGGTTTGAATCCACTGACCGGCCAGACCCTGTGCCTTCGTGGGCTCTCTACGGGTACTCTGGCTTCCTCCCACTGTTTGCATGTTCAGTTAATTGGTGTCTCTAAATTGGCTGCAGGTGCAACTGTGAGCGTCAATGATTATCCATCTGTTAGCCGACAAACTGGCGACCAGCCCAGGGTGTACCCCGTCTCCCCCTCTATGTTAGCTGCGATAGGCTCCAGCGACCCTGATAGATAACCAGAAAAGAATGGATAAAAATCCCAACAGCATGAGGTAAAAAAGAACAGATGCTGCTGTGACTATGCTGAGTTGAGGCCATGGAACACATGAAAATGCCATCAGACGCAGTCTACGAGTGAAATATTCAAATATATGTTGCTAGTTTTGGTTTTAGAAGAAGCTGTGTGTACTATTTTCCTCTAGGAAGTTGAGGCTAAAGAGGGTAAGACTTCAAACTTGAGGTCAGGTCAGCTCACTAATAAAGTGTAAGCGGGTCCTCTGCAAGTTACAAACTGCTTAGATTAAAGAAAAAGTTAAACTTATTCCAAAAGTGGCAAAACTGCAGTTCCTTTATTGGCCACTTGGGGCTGACCCAATTTCACCCGCATAGAAATGCCAGTTTTGTAGCTGTTTTCATTACTAGAAATTGGTCATAAGATCTCAAAGTCTGGTGTGACACGTCGTGTAATCCAGCCTGTGATGTTTGGTTGGAATAAAAGATTCAGACACGCCAAACAAAGATTTTAAAACATGAAAAACATTTTCATGAAAGTGCAGTTTTTACGTCAGCGCCTGACAAACACGTCTGCTTCAAGTTTCTCGGACAACAGTCTCCACAGGGAAATGGGTCAACACATTTTTTTTTTCCATAGTGTTCTCCCCTTTTTTTCCTTCTAGAAAACAACAGTAAACAAACAAACTGTGAAAAGGCAGAGGACCCGTCTGTTCAACCTTTTTCTGTCTTTACATGTTTTGTTTTGTTTTTTTTGGCACATGTAGGGTCAAGCCTGCCGCCTTTGCTGCTCGCCTGAGCGATGAGCAAAGGGCGGATGTTCACTACGACATCATTAGAAGGGAATGAGACGTTTGGGTTCACAGTGCTCGACAGGACGCGCCGATCAACAGGCAGAGAGGGCAGAGTGAAAGGGTCGAAGGTCACAGTGTTCAACAGCGAAGGATTTCACGCCACAGCGGTAACAAACAACACCCACGACAGCCGGACGCCGTGCCTCCAGCTCATCATCACCATACTGCTATCACTCTTTTCTTTTTTAACAGGCGTTTCATTCATTTGATCGTTTGTACGTGACCTTCATGCAGATGAAAAAACAAACAAAAAAGGCAAAACATGGTCGCAGCACAGGCCAGATGATTTGTTGTTGTGGCGATATTAATAACACATCAGGAAAAAGTCCAACCTCAGATTTTAGTGCGTTTCCGATGACTTATCTTTTTTTTTTAATTTCCCATTTCCTCCAATTCCCAGAATGCTTTGCAACAGATTTTGATGTTTTCTTTTCACCAGTGTGAAAGAAGACAGACATACTCTGGTGTCATTTATTGCATCTAATGGCCAGCAGTGGGCGACGCCTGCAGCTGCAAATAGACTTCTATTACAGAAAATGACCACACTACTCACATGACCTATGACCTCAGGAAACAGTTTCCTCTTAAGTTTATGGTCTCAATTGTTAGATTCAAGTATTAGTGAATATAATATTGTGTAAGTCTTTGGAAACCATGGTCCCCATTAGAGGTGGTTGTCATTCCCTAGCCTATGACGGTGTCTCTTAGTCGCTCAGCTGATTCACCCCCTGCTACTGATGGCTCGTTACAGTGGGTATGTCCATCTTTAGTATACAGTTTATGTTTATCACCTCTGCACCGCTTTTTATTAGATCTGGCAAATGTTCTTGGTTAAGCCACATTAGTCTGGCATCGGTTTAGCTGTGATCAGATGTGTTTCTGCTGTAAGAAACAACTCAGTTTTGTCATTTAGCACCTGCGGAAATGAAGGAAATACCAACCACAAATATTTGAAGCAAGTCACCAAAAATTGCTTGTTAAATAACCAGCGCTGAGTGTGTTTAAGGTTGAATTTTTACCTTTAAAGAAACAGAGAGCATAAAGAGAAGAGTTTGTTCCCCTGTGTTCAGTCTGGCAGCGTCACCGTCCTTCGCCTGGGCGCCTACGCACGAAACATTCAGGAGCTCTTCTGTACGCTAACAGGAACAGAGAACCTAAAAATCACCCAAAGCTACTTTCCCCCCCCACAGGTGCTGTTAGTTAGAGCCCAGAGAGGAAAGACTCTGCTGCCATCACAGACACGTAAAAACCATAGATGATACCGCAGCGCTCACCTGGCCCGTCATGGCACATTTGGAAACTGATGGTTATGAAAGCCAAGCCGCCATGTTGGAAGCACAGCTAAAACAGAGAGTATCGACTGTTCCGGGCAGAGCGGCCCTTTTTAATTATTATTACTGTAATGCCTCGTGTCCCTCAGACGTTTCTGTGTTCCTACATGGCGGCTGGCGGTCAGGAGGAAGAGAAAAAACAAAAACGTGAGGTGCAGCTCATTATGACGTCTTCAGAAAGATAAGTAGCAGCACCATATCAAAGAGAGAGATGCAAACAAATGTACAAAGAGAAAAGAACAAAGCGTCGAGTCTGTTAACAAAATCTCGTGGTCCGTTTGAAAAGAATATACTGCACAGATGGTGTTAATCGATATATACACTCAGTTTTTTTGTGTCTTGTTCTCAGCTCATGTTTCTGTCCCACTCTGTGGCATCCTTCTCCATGTAGTGGTTACGATTCATTAATTAATAATAATAATAATAATAATAAAAAGAAAACAGTGGCATGTGATTCATGGCTGCGCCCACTGGTTTTGACACCACGTCTCTGTTTCAGGCCACGTGACCTTTTATTTTTGTGTATGTGTAACATGGCAGCGTTCAGGAGTTTATAGAGTCCAGATCTCTCCACGCTCGCGTCAGCGTCGCTGGTGTTAAAATGCTGAGGCGGCAGAGAGCGAAACCTTCAAGTGCTGCAGTCCTGCAGGCACTGTCGACATCAGGGACCACCGGGGCAAAAGCGGTGGCGGCGGTGCGCTTGAAACAAAAGCTCCCTGAAAAAGTAGAATCACATTCAGACACCTTTCTGTCCGTTAGTGTTTGCTCCACGCAGGAGGGTGCGAGCATGAAGACCACAGAGTGATCACACAGGGACGAGGCTCTGCAACATGGTTTTAAAAAAAGCAGGAAAAAAAAGTGTTTTTGTCGAAGGTGCAGAAACGACTGATCTGACCAACTGATGTTAAGATGTAAACAGCTGTAAACGAAACGTAAAAGGACCGGGAGATCTGATGCTTTTCCATGAGCCGGCTGAAGCAGCCAACACGCCTCGTTTGTTCCCCCCACAAGCGTGTCCTTCAGCCTTTTAACGTCCTCTCAGGGTCCCGACGACGCGACAGTTAAGTGTTAAGGTGCTCCTCTGCTTCCCAAAGTGCGCTTGGTCGTTCCTCCTCTTGCGTGTCCAGTTTTTGTCTGAACAAAAACTCAAGCACCTGAGCAGAAGCTGACGAGTGGAGGCCAGAGAAGGTGATCGAGGAGGAGGAAGAGGGTGAGTGGAGGAGGAGGAGGAGGAGGAGAGAGGAAGTCTCCTCAGAAAATCCCTTTGGCGATTTTCAGTCCCTTCTGTTTCATGCGAGGCAGCGTCGAACTGGTCACGTTCTTGGCCCGCATGGGCCGTGCCAAGCCGCGCTTTTTCAGCACAAAGTCATAGTTGGCAGTGGAGTTCATGGCGTAGAAGACGTTGGCGTTGTCCGGGATCCGGAGCTCTGCAGGACGAGGTCAGAAAGAGAGAAGCAACAAGTGGTGATTAACGAGTTCAAGCAGTGTTATTCTCGGGGGACATGAAAGAAAATCAATTCTTTATCTTTCACCACATGAGAAACTGTAAATATATGCAAGTCAACACATCGGCCATTAAATTCATTTTAAAATAACAACAATTAAGACAAAACACATACAGTTACATGTGTACTATTAATTACTCGCTCAGATTTTTATGGAAGTTTTCACTGTGCATCAGGAACTTGTATCATAAAAGCAGCGTAATATTAAATTCATTGTTAAAAACCAATAATGAATACATGAAACAAAGAAATGATCACCTTTGTCCTCAGAGATTTTCTGCATCAGTTCGTAGTCCTCGGTCTTCTCTCGCTCCAGATTGTGTTTGATCATGGCCTTCCTGATCACCGCCGGAGTCTTGTCCTGACTCGTCACCTGAATCGCAGACAGAACATCAACATCTGTTCCTAACTATTAACCATCACTTTACACACAGAGAAAACTCTGACTTCACTGCCTCTTAAAAAGCCTGAAAGCTGTTTTTCTGCCCTCACCAGGATGCTCTTATACATGTTCCCGTTCTCCACGTCCAGGCTGACCCTGATGATGCAGCAGTCGTCCACCTGCTGGTTGTACAACGGCAGCGACAGAGTCGAGTAGTTCGACACAGCCGACACCGAGCGTTTGTGTGAGCGCGAGGCCGACAACGGGGTGGAGGAGGAGACGGAGGAGGAGGAGGCGCTGCTGGAGCCGGAGGCTGAACCAGAGCTCGAGCCCATCCCGGACGTGTCCAGAGACGACAGAGACGTACATTCCCAGAACTGAAAGGTTATCAGAGGGAGAGGTTGGTGGGAGAGGCTGAAAAATGAAGCCAATACTGAAGAAATAAAAACCTCATGCAGTTCCTCTAAAGACCACTTGAGGCTCCAAAAGCAAGTCAGTCCCCATCAATGCTTCATGTTAAAGTTTCCAACTTTACATGAACATGTTTACAGCTACAGTAAGCGATTCTGGTATCTGTAGCTAATTTTCTTCTTAATAATAAGGGGAATTATTATTGGACAATTATTACTGAGCAGGTTTGCAGCTTTCTAAATCGAGTACCCCACCCCACCCTGTCTGGTTTGCAGACAGTCATCCAAGCCATTTCAGGTTTTCAGTGTGAAATGAACAGAAAAACATAGCAGCCGTTACCGTTGAGGTTGTATCTGCAGCTGGAGCTTCTCTTCCCAGTGCTGAGACAGTTAGTTTCACCGAAGGAGTCGACGTCTGGAGGAGGACAAAGGAAAACAAAACAGAACCAGTCATCGCGCGGCCCCAGACCACTCTGACACGATGACAGCCATTATTTTTCTCCACACAGGACACCTAGATCACGCTCAAATAAACTGAACTTTAGGTGGGAACAAATGTGCTCTGTGAATAATCCCTGTGACTTAAGGACTTAAGCTCCCAGTGTGGCTGTGCGCTGGGAGTTTTTCTAAGTATAACACTGTGGAACTCACGTCTGTTTGTTGTAACTGTGAGTGATCACCAGGGGGCAGCGTGGGCTACTCTTACTCATGTTTGTAGAATTTCAGCAGCGAAGTCAAACCCAGCGTTAAACTACATGTTTATAATTCCTAGAGTTCATATCGTCTTGATTTTGAAGGCTAAACCTTGGTGTAGTCACAATGTCACACGATTTCAGTACAAATGACTACAGGTCCCACCCAGGCCTGGTTTTCTGTTCAGTTTCGGTGTGTTTGGGTCCCTTTTTTGATTTTACAGATTTTCTTTCTTGTGTTTACATTTTTCCATTGTCTAAAGTGTTTCCTTGTCTTTATTTACTTTTGTTTTGTGTGTGTTTGCCCTTCATTATCTGACGCTCCTTCTGCCCTGTTTTGAATTTCGGTTTTGTTTTCCCCGCTGAAGTTTTCTTGTAGTTTGTAGCAGTTAACATTGTCCAATAAAGGCTCGCCCTTTTGTATTCAGCCTGGTTCCCTGTCCTCCATTTGAGTCCTTCTTTCGAGTTTTATCCTCAAAGTAAAGACTTCAAACATGAGGAAACGTTTCCAGCAGATCCACTGTTGTTTTTTCCCTCCTCACAAACAGCTGCTTAAAAGTGGCTGTCACATGTTTTACATTGTGGCAGAAAATACTATGTGCAGCTTTTTCTACCTTTCTCTCGTGTCCCTCCGGTGAGTCTGACAGGAAGCTGGCGTTCACATCCTCCAGGTCTGATCCGCTCGAGCTGACAGAGGTGACGCTGAGAGCGTCGCCGCTGTCCCCCCCTCCTCCTTGGTACGGCCTGTAGTGCGAGTGGTCGAAGGACTTGGAGTGAGAGCCTGCGGCACTGCTGCAACCGGCCTCCGTCAACTGTCGGCTGCAGATGACACCGTAACAGGAGGGTTATGAAAATAAGACTGGTGGTCAAGTTTAAAACAATGGTATTAACGCTGCGACTTACTCGCTCCAGCGCTTCATGATTCCTCCGTTCTTCTTGCCTCGGAGCGTGTTGCTCGCCGACTCTGACAGAGGCTCGATCTCACAGGACAGATTGTAGCTGCGGGAACAGGAGGGAGTCAGGACGGCAAGAGAGAAAATAGGAATTCAAAGACATAAACTCAAGGATGAGATAGGATAACACGGTTAGCACCGATAACACTGAGCTGGGTCATTACACCTGCAGATGTGTAAATTTGGTGGGTTTCACCACTACTTCCATGAATAATTCTGTCATTTTTAATGGTTTTGTATTATTTTAAACCCCTCACCGCCTCCTCTGAAATGATATTTTCACCATTTTCATCAAAACGCAGATATTTTAATCCTGACGGCAAAACTGAGGACAAACTGAATAACCCACGCTTCATGCTGGCAGCCAGTGCTGTGAATCATTTCATAAACTCCTAAAAATCTTGGAACATGTGAACATTTCATGTGTTCCTGCCAAAACTTGAGGGTTTTTATATATATATAAATATATATATTAGTTGTTTTTAAAGCACGGCACCAAGTTTTGTTAAATTCCCCTTTTCAATGTCAGAATTAAAGGATGACTGCAGATATCCAACCACCATCAAAACAACAGCCAGATTTCCTGCTTTCCTCCGAGGTCAGAGACAGAGGGAGGAGCCTCTCTCATGACTGACCTCTCTGCCTCGCTGTATTTGTCCACGCCGGCGAACCACTCCCTGAAGTGGCTGTCCTGAGTGAAATTGTAGTTGTTGGAGGCCAGCTGGAGCAGTTTGATCTGAGCGATCACCTCAAACTCCTGCAACAAGAGGGCAGAGCCGAAAAAAGGGTTTGACTTTGGGATTTGGACCGGCAGATTATTTTTGATGATGATTTCAAACAAACAAAAAGAAATAATTCACCTTTCTTCTCTTCTCGAAGTTAATCAGACCACCCTGAAAAAGAAGAAAAGAAATTATTAGCAGTGATAGAAAATAAAAAATACAAACCCAGGAAGAGGGTTTAAAATCCAAAAATCATCACAGTAACGACTCCCATCTGACCTCAGTGTAATCCTTCATGGCAGTGTCCATCATCACCAGGTCCGTCAAGAAAGTCCCCAGGTAAGGGATCGTCCCCTGCATCACTCCCTGTTTACAGAACACGTGGAGATGAACATGCATTTAGAGTGCAAGTAACCATTTCCCTAGAACAATGTTATTTAAACCAGTGCTGCAGGAAAAATTTGATTTTCATCAGTAAGTGGTCCTGCAATCTGCAGGAGTTTAGGCTAATCACTGCTTGTTGAAATTTGTAAGAAAACTTCCAGAAAGCTAAATTTGAAGAGCAGCTGGCAATCCCCCATTCAAAATGGGATTGTACTCCTTAAGTGGATTTGATATAGAGTACTGGTTGCAGCAGATGTGCCTGTTAGCATAAGAAAAATAAGTAAATGGAGGCTGACTCAGCGCCTGAAGCAGTGCTTTGGTGGAAAAGCATCAAGCAGATAGCATGTGGTCTCACCAGGTCTCTCTGCTGCTGGTGTCTCCTCTGAGCGCGTTTAGGGTTGATTTCTAAAGTTGCAAACTTGGAGGTGCCCTCCTGCAGAATAAACAACACATGATAAGTTTTTCTTGATGCTAAAAAAAAAAAGAAAAAAAAAAAAAAATCACAAATGTGCAAAATACAGGCCAAACACTAAAAATACCCAACCCTCCTTTCACCAAGGCGCAATAAGTGAGTTTTGCTCACTCACAAACGTCACATCCCCACAACAAACATCCCTGTGCTACATAATTCAACATCAGACACAGTTTATCCCATATTGTCTTCCTTTAAACGACTTCTGAATACACACATTTCTCCTGTAATACAGTTAGATTAATTTTTGTTGTGCGTTTCCCAAAACCACAAAATGACAGATAACACACTAAACAATAAAACATATATAAACTGAAAGAAAAATAATCATTCTGACTGACCCAGATCAAAATGCTCAGTTTTGGTCTTTTCTAAAATATAATGTTAGGCAACTTTGAACAAAGCTGTAGTCGAGCTATAACATTTAAGATGCAGGTGTTTCAAATGTGGTCTTCAGTGACATCGCTTTAAAATGAGGCTCTGAAGCGAGGACGTCTCATTCCGCCTCGACTCCTTCTTCCTCATGCCTCGTCTTCGCCTCCTCCGCTCGTATCTCTCGTGGGAGGAACTGAGACCAGGGAGAGGAGTCGAGGACGTGCAATCCAGGAATGAGAAATGACGCACATCTTACAAGCTAACTCAACTCAACTCCAACCTGACACATTCTCCAAGCTTTAGAAACACTATAACTATTTCATTCCTGTCATTAGCACTCAAACATTTCTGGATTTTTCTCAATAAATGTACATGCTCTTCACTCATCATAATAAGGATGCTATAAAAGAAAGTGTATTTCATTCCCAACTTCTTCTAATCCACATAATTCACACAGCCTGTCGTCCTTCTGGGTGTTTTAAATTAAGCATTTTCCTGTTGATTCCTGTGTAATTAAATACCTCTGATTAATTTCTTTATCTCTTCTTCAAAAATATCAAGCAACATTCATGATAAAATGTTAATATACAGATACCATGGCATGAAGCTGTAGCAGAACATATAATGATCTTTATATGACTGAAGATACCTGTAGTTTATATACAGCTAATAAAGTTTTAGACATTTTTGTCTTTGGCTTTCCAACACGATATTTTGTGGTCAAATCGAATCGAACCACAGAATGTGTCACACAACTGTTTCCATTGGCTCAAAATATGATGACGTTACGGTTCACAGAAAACACATGTGCCGTTTGGTGATTTAAAGCATGTCTAATGCATCCAGCTGGCCTGGAGGTCAGAGACGGGCCGGCTGGGCAATTTTTAACCAGGAACCTCCCTTCAAGGATGTTTTTCTCCAAAAGCTTTTTAAACTTCATATACTTCGTTTATGTGTTACAGCAGATTAGATCTTTAAAACCTGTTCTGAAATAAAAAATAAAACATCTGCACGACCTCAAAGTAAAAACTGGGAGAAAATCCACCTCCTTGGCGTTCCTTGCGCATTCCTCAGAGTCAACGCGGCCTGTCCCGAGCAGATAGACAGAGGCGACGCCCTGAGGTCTGCTTTCACATATTGGAGCCGTTATCTACACCTGCCAAAGGGTTCCTCCCTGTGACGTCAGCAGGGATTCCCTCAGCGGACGCCGCGGGTGTTAACTAACTCAGCATTACATCAGAAAGCTTCTCAGGTTAAAAATAGGTGATAATTCACTCTCGACCTTTACTCTGACTAAGCACAGCAGACTGACCACTAAGAAAGATCACCTTACACAAGGGTCAAGAGGACCTAGTTTGTTCAATTATAAGAACACTGTCATCAAAATCCACAGAAACATCAGTGAATGTGTTGAGACAGGTATATTTTTATATCCCCCTGCGCCTTAGAGATGTATTTTCATCAACACCTATTGAAATATAAATAAATAAATCAAACCATATTCCTCATCACCACGATCTCCCACATACACCGACTGTCCTGCATCGTAGTACATGGTTGTTTTTCAATCCAGTAAATCTCAATATCGTGCATTAGGCAAGAGTTCTGCAATTATTTACAATGATTACGAGCTTTTTCCTAAAAATTGAGCAGTCTTTATGAGCGTGCAAATGTCAGAATGTGACAACTTAAAAACTTGTTGATTGTAAGGACAGCGCTGCAGCATAAGTGCAACTAAATCCTGTTTCAGTCTAAGTTTCTTGTGTGATAAAAGCCAAACATCCCTACTGCTCTTCAGACCTGTTTACAAGCAGCAGCCACTCAAAAGCGAGTTGGTGTAAAAGGCGGAGGAATTAAAACAGCTTGTTTCAGACAGAGGACGAATGCAAAGCCCCAGTGCAAGAAAAATAATCATTATTTTGACCTGTGAATCATGCAAAGCTTGTGTAGTAAAGTCAAAGAGTAAAGACGAGCAGCGGAAAGCATGTGCAGCCTGTTGATCTGTCATCTCATTTCCTGCTCACTCAAATATCTTGAATTAATGAATCAGCTCCTGCTGACCTTCCACTGAATGCGTCAATACGAGCAAAACACCCTGACGGTGTCAACAGGTCTCTGCATTAAACCCACTATATCGCACTAATGATGACAGCAACCTGTCAGCTGCACAGAGCCCACCCTGGACATCGTATATGGATCCTGTTGTCCAAAAGTAACAGAACAAGGTGCTCTGATGTGCAGGAAGCTTGGCTGCAGCTGTTGTGAGGAAGGATACTGACAGTAAAGGGTCACCTAGCCGTGCATCCTCCCGCCGCCTGCTCAGCTGCCACGTGTTACTGTTATGTAACTCATAAACGGATTTGTCTGCGTATTATTGTGAAGATGATTTTTCCTTCAGCGGCTAAATACACCTCCTCCGTTTTCACTGTGCACCCCCTCAGTGTTATGTTTACATCTGTTGCTGTGACTCACCTTCACCAGCAGCTCTCGGCTCAGGGAGTAATTGTTGTCGTCAGAGAAGATCTCGGACAGCTCGCGGAAGGTTCGGAAACTTTCCCTGTAGGCGGACAAAGAGGTCAGCGCACAACAATCACTCTGCAGAGCCTGCAGGCGGGCCCGAAACCTACCGTGATACTTCCTCCCAGGTCCTCTTTAGGCGGTGGATTGCGTTGCACTGCAGGGCGGAGAGGATGGCTCGCAACGAGGAGAAGTTCTTTAGTATTCGACACTCCTGAAAACAGCAATCGTTCAGTCAGAAACAAACCAAAACGGCCGTCAGTCCCAGGAGCACATGAGCTCAGCAAACCAGAAGTCTCACCCGGGCAACTTCTATCCACCTCTCCAGCAGACGGGCTCTCTGGTTGGGCTTCAGTGCCGGGTTGCTCAGGCAGGTGGTGATGACACAGTTGGTGACAGAGTTGAATTGGGCCACGGTGGCTCTGATGGTGGGAGCCAGGTGCTCCTTACCTTTCTTATCCCGCTGAGACCAAATCCCCCCCAGGCAGTGGTAGGGAACCACCTTCTTGAACAGATCCTGAATGGACGCAGAGAAAGAGGGGAGTTAAAATCGATACTTATTTCTAATTTAAAGAGAGGAGGTGCAGATACGATCTTAAGAATCAACACCACCAGGTAACTGTGCTGAAAGGGACAGGAAAGATTCTCACCGCGTCCATGAGCGTGAACTGCTCTGCCACCATGATGGGGTCAAACGACAGGAAACTGAAAGCAGGAAGCTCATCCTCAAAGCCGCTCTCTTCCTGCGTAGCAAAAGGGCAGCCGATGTGTTCCCCTAAAGAGAATAAAAAAAAATATATTTTTCACACAGCTGACTCCACCCGAGCTCAACCTTAACGCAGCTCCTGCACTTTTTCTGAGCCAACACTTTCTTTGTTCTTTACAGCAACAAATATCTCAGCGTTTGAACTGAAACTGAACATCTAGAGCCACCTGAAATGTGCACAGCCTTCAACTGGTTTATTCTAACACTTCAGGTTTTTATTACTGTGGGACCACCATTCTGGTATGTTAAAGGAGTCCCTGCCTGCTCTGGTGTCCCTCTCTTGTCCTGCCTTCATACCATCAGGATCAGGCTCACACTGCTGTCTTCGGTGGAAGTGGGCCAGCAGGTTGCGGGCACGGCGCTCCAGGTCCGAGCCGGGGAAGTGGAGGTGAAGGTAAGCGAGGAGCTGATGCAGACACTCGTAGTTTGGAGGGCTCCAGAAGTCCTCAGAGTACTGGTCCAGCCACGCGCCCAGGATGGACGAAACAGTGCTGAAACACACAGGAAATAAAATATAAGAAAAGAGCCTCCTTAGGAAACCCACAAAGCAACAATATGAAAGTAGAAAAACGAAATTTATAGAAAGACATTCTCACATTTTCAATTTTAAGGTGCGCTTGAGAGAATTATCTACTACAGTATGTTAGTGTTTATCTGAACTGGTGACTCTTATGGTCAGGTTGTTTTTCCATCCTTTGTTATTTCCATTCTTGTGATTCAAACTAAATCTAAACAAATATGGTTTCTGTTACACAAGAGTAAAAAAAAAAGCCCTGTTTTACTGAATTAATGAGCCATCTTGAAATCCTAAAAAAGCCTCTACTGCTTAAAGCTCGATGTCATTAACATGAATGACCCTCCACTTAGTTTAATACAGCTTTATTTTGGCTTAGATTTGAAACAATGGGACCTCCAGGCATCTTTGAGTAATACAGCCTTCATTCAGGATATAAGGATGACGCAAATAATGCATAATGCATTATCATAAAATGCATTCAGGGTCACTACATGGCTACAAGATGGAGGAGGTGGTTTTTACTCATGAAATCATGTTCCCAGTGTGCAGATTTGAGTATCTGAAGATATCTCATTTATTTAGAAAAAAATTAAAACTGCACAATGTTTCCATGAAGTTTAAAACAACAGCTACCTGAAGTCAATGGGAGCATTTCTCAGAAAACACTGTCTTGACTTTAAGGATTTAACTGAAGCTCTTTTACAAGAGAATAAGAAAATGAATAAGTTGTTTATTTTTCTGTCTGAACCCAAACAGCCCCCTCAGTCTGACAGGTATCCAGCCACGGGGAAGAAAAGGATCCCTTTAAGCCGGGGAGGAGGGGGGTTGAGGCTCGGTGCTGTGAATGTACTCTGTGATTAATGTTGGAAGCTCGACACTGAAGGTCGCAGCACGCTTACTTTCTCAGCTCTGTGCAGTCGTCCTGGGAGACTCTGTGTGCTGTGGCTGCAGGCACATTTTGGAGCTTGGCATACCTAAAAACAGAAAGAAAAAAAAAAACACCACAGTTTCATTTTATGAACCAAACTAATGAACAAAACAACCAAAAAAGAAAGAAGCTTCAGTCTGAGTTTTCATGTCAAGGTTTGATGGCTCTCTCTCTCTCTTTTGTTGTTGTCCCTAATAAGCTAAACATTTTAAAAGCACAGGGGCATTAGTAACAGTGTTTTGTAATACTGAGCAATATTTAAAATTATTCTGAACAGAAAAACATGAAACACTCAGAAAATGTCCTGAGGCAAACTTGAACCCACGCCCCTGCAGCAGCCTTCGGCGTGTGGGTCACATACGGTGATACTGCTCAACTCATTGAGCCTTACTGTCACCGGCATCTTTTTATTTTTATTGCCGTTTTATTATTGTATCATATTTATTTTTTACTACATTTTGATTTGCAGTAAAACAATTGTAGCAAAAGCACAGGAGTAGTAAAACTAGTCGTAGTTGTAGACCTCTGACCACTGCGCAGGGTCCATCCACTAAGTGCACGATGGCCGTTTAAAAAAATTATTGGCTTTTCAGGGGTGTGGTCCTTTTGATTGACAGGTGTCCAGGCGCAGGCGGTTGTCCCGGGACTTATCTCTGTTAATTCGACTCACTTAACTGAAATTTTCAACTGTGTGTGCTGTTGGTGCCTTTTGGATAATTTTGCATTGAACAGCTGAATTAACCATGATATCACTCAGGGTACCAGGTTCAGCTTTTTTGAGAGAAATTCTAGTAATTTATAAGTCTGTTAATTAATGTTACGTCAGTCCTCTGTATACAGTGTGTAGGCATGATGGGGTTCATTTACAGTGTGATCATTTTGGCACTTTTGGTCCTCTATAATCTTAAGAAATATTCCCTTGTTTCTTGTAATTTGGAGAATTTATTTCTAAGTAAATCTGCTATTTTATACTGAATTTTTTCTCTGTTTGTTTTATAATAATGGATCTCAGCATGATTATGTGTCACAAAACAAAAATATTAAAGTAAAGTGTCTAAAATTTGTACTTAAACACAACTTCTAATGTATTCATCTTCATTTCTGATTAAGAATTTAAATCAGAAAAGTCTGGAAAAAGCACAAATCTGCTTTTCCACCCGGTGTGTCGTCTGGTGTCACCGTACCTGTTGAGCAGGAGATCGAGCACCTGCTTGGTGGTGGCGAAGGATCGGTAGGTACAGAGGAAGATGGTGACGTAGGTGGAGTCTTTGCCCTTGAACGCCGACACCATGTACTCCACCAGCCTCTCCAGAGTGCCGGCCTTGATGGTCCGCACCTTGCAGGTTTCGTAGAGGCTCAGGGCGGAGTCCGTGTCCACACCCAGCCATCGCTGCCCTTTGCTGGCCGACTGGTGAAGCTGCACCTTCCTCAGTGTGATGGTGAAGATGGCGTCCTCCTCGGCCTCCTCGCCGATCTCCTGCGTCGAGCTCTGAGAGGCAGACAAAGAAAACAAAGCATTTTACTCCAACTGTCGACTTTGTTTGGGTGAAATTTTGTCCCAGGATCCACGGCGGTTTCTTCATGCTGGAACAAGCGCTTCAAATAAGTGTTTAAGGGACCAGATTAGAGGGAGCTGAAGGCTGAGAGGAGCAGCCATCTTTACCGTGCAGAACGTGGAGTTAAAAATGTCCGGCATCTAATTCTGGGACTAAACCCTTTAATTATGACCATCTGTGTGACCTGGCCCTCTCCTTTCTGCTCGGTCCCTCTCTCTGAGTCATACTTCGTGAATCATGTGCGTGCACAAACAAACAATAGCTTGTTACCAAACAGAGCTTGCTGGATAACTGGGTCGACAATACAGGCTGCAGCCTGCATTTACCCAAACGGGGAATTAACACAAGCTGCTTGTTGCCTGAATGAGGGCTCTGTGGGCCGCTGCAGGTCACCACCCACAACAGTTTGTTGTTGTTTTCTCCTCAACATGAAAAACGAAGATGAAACAAACCATGAACTGTGATGCTGATGGGGATCATCATAAAGTAACGATACGAATTCCACTTCACCTGATGCCTCATCAGCACCGCTCGTGGTTACACAACAGAAACAAAAGTGTTACCTCTGATGGCTTATGAGTAAAATTAGATCTTTAACACTAATTTCCTTGAAAACACCAAACTCTGGCTTAACTGCCTACAATGCAACATGCACTGGGATAGTTCTTCAGCTGGCCTGCAGTGCTGTTTCCCCATCTAGCTTGCCCAGTTTTAGAGATATCAGCAATAAGGATGTCTGCCTCTTGAATTTGGAGGGACCTTTGGAGGGTGACTTAAACATGTAAGCAAAGATCAGCTCCCAAGCAATAAAGATGAGAACATAATTAGATGAGTTCCTTTTCAAAATAAGAGCAAGAAGCACTTTTTTCTAGTTTTCTAGAAACTTGATCACGGTTGGATAATTTTTCTAAAATGCTAAATTGAACAACCGAATATACCTGGACTGTCTGTGAGTGGGGAAACACCACTGTAAAGTAAACATTAGCTGTTTGAGGGGCCAAGAAAGATGAACATATTAAAATCTAACAGGAAGAGCTACGGCGGTGTGAATCACTATGGAGGAATGGCATGCAGTGCCACAGTCATCTGTCACGGCCACTTATCGTGGATCCTCAGAGAATTAGTCATTCAAGTCCATTTCCAGCATCTCAGCTCGGGGCTGAGAGACGCTCAGCACCGTTTGGAGCTGTAATTAAATGTCAACAAACAGCTAACATTCTCTGAGTAATAATACAAAGACTAAATTGGGAGAAACTGTGATATTTTTCACTATTTTACGTGTATGGAGTGAAACAGTAACAGTTAATGGCCAAAAAACAATGAGCATAACCGTGAGCTGCAGCCCAATCATTTAGTGTTATGTCAGAACCAGTCTACTAACAAACAGATTATGGACAGAAGGCGATGCCATTTCACACACTTGATAACCAACAATGTTTTCATAAACGCAGAAAAAAGACTCAAATCAAACTGGCTTTAACTGGGATATCTAACCTCTGCCCAATAAACAAGAGTCCTGTACACAGAAGGTGACCTTCAGTAACCCTGAAGAGACCCTGACAGCTGAGGGAGGGTGTATGTGACAGATAAAGAGAGGAGACAAACCCCTGGACTGCTGTAAATCCTGCTGGATATAATGGCCGAGGCACAGCTGCAGCTGAGAGGCTCAACAGCAGGAGCGGCTCTTATCAGCCAAACCGCAGAGGCCGCGCCACCATCACCTCCGGCCCGAAAAATGCAGCGCTCAAGGGCAGCTCCTCGCTCTATCGGGCGAATCGATTCCCAGAATAATGCTCCTATTCATGTTCCCGTAAGTGTTGCCGTGCAAACCAAACAGTCCGTGCTAGTAGAAAAATAAGTGAGAGGCTGATTCTCTAAAAAGGGGAGTTCAATGCCATCTCCAAATGGCTTCAACAGAGGAAACTACCAAGTGTGAAACACCACTATTTCAACATGACTAGAAGCTGAATCTAGACTCAAAATGTCGGTGAAAATGAAATCTTAAAGTTCATTTGAAGGTTTCTCCAGTGAAAACGGACAGAAATGCTCGTCTCAGTGACTCGTCTGGGTCTCAGCTGCACAGCTGATATGTTGAACACCTTGTGAACCATCTCGGAGCTCAGTATGTTTTAAAACTGAGGCTTAAATCTAGAGGTGACTCTGCTTTTGCCATAAGAGATTTAGTCTTCAGTCTGAAAACTGGGGTGTTTTCCTACGAGAGCCAAGAAGCAGGTGACAGCGTTTTCAGTTTTCCTCTTAAACTGAAAACAGTTTTACAGTTTGAACATTTGGGCTCGATCACTCTCCTTGTAAATAAAATGAGAAAAAAGTTTATTTCAAATCAGGTTCAGTTGCAGTTTGACTTAATCAGCATCGTTTACTGATGTAACAGCTCAAAAGCACTGATAAGACATTCAGTGGGGGGTTTCTCATAAAATCTCATAAATCCAGAAGCAGCCCTTTTCGTTTCACTTACATTTATCTTTTCCTCGCATTCCTTCTGCCTGACTCAGTGTTTCATCAATAAAATCAACACCACACCGCGTTTTAAAATCCCTGCTATAAACAATTAATGACACGCCAGACAAAGCAGGGTCACAGTTAGATGTTAATTATAGAAATCACACTGAACCAGAAGCACTGATTACTTTTATTTATAGAATCCAATTTACCTACTGTGGTTAAAAACAAAACTAAACAAACTGCGTCACAGTCATTACAGCAGAGGAAGGGGTTTTGGTTATTTTTAATTTACCGGCAGCTCTCCTGAACATAGCGATGCAAATTTAGTCTCTTAGTGTTTCCACTGAAAAGTACAAGATGTTCAAAGTGAATTATACAAATTATTTACTTTATCCTGATGTGTCAAGATGTTCAGGCATAGTCATTTCTGGGAAATAACTTGATGCTTATTAATATGGCATGCAGATTTTATAGTTTAAACAGAACCTATTCTGCTTATTTCTCTGAGTCGACATTCATAATAATCCTTGATCACCTCATGCTGGACCTTCCTGTCTGAAATAAGCCATTTTAGCTCCTCTCTTTTAAAGATCATCCTCCCTTTAACACGGCTTTCTTTCATTGTTTAGCCCACTTTGATCACAAAGCAGGACAAGGTGGCTAATGCACAGAACATGTACCATATATTTCTCTCTCTGTAAAAAAGCTGTAAAGCTTATGAAAATACAGTTAAAAGTCCAAAATGTATGCTCTCAATCACATTTTCCAAAGCATGAACATACCCTAATCCAGTGGCTCCCAGACTTTTTTTGCTAGGTCAACCTTTGTTTTACAAGAAAATCTTTGCAGTGATTAAAACATATTCAAAGTGAAGTGGCTGTCTACAAGTAACAGACAGTGATGATGATGCTGCTATCATTTTAAGAAAGAACTGATATAATTGTAAATATAATCTGGAGCATCTGAGCTGAATAATATTCCTCGAACACTGCTCTGAATCAGTTATACTGACGACAATATAAATGAAACAACTACAGAAGGGTCCACAGGAAATGTCTGGCATCTAGAAACAGCCTCCTCCACACTCTACATTCACCTACACCGTCCTGGCTGTGAATGACCATGAATGCAAAGTGGAGTGGAGGAATGTGAGGCGAGTAAAAGTGTCAGGACAGAGTCATGAGGCAGGGAGGATACGTTTCCAGAAGGAAGGAAAAGGAAAATTAAGCCACACAATCCTTGTTTTAGACTTGTTTTAATGCTCAAACAAACTGGTTTATATTAAACACAGTGGGTTTTTTTCCTTGGCTTCCTTTGGCCTGACTGTTGCCCGGTGTTCCAGTACAGGAGTCGGCTCAGCCCTCGCATTAAATGGTAATCTTACCGCACGAATGTACCAAAGCAAAATCCTAGTAGATTTACAGAGGGCTGAAACAAAAGAGGCTTGTCCAGCTGCTAAGGGTCGTTTTTAAGGATTCCTGCTGGCCAAGAATACCCAAGGAGGCACTTTGGTCAAAGACTTTTAACAGTTTTTAGTTGCTGGGTAGTTTTTAAACTTGTACTTTTAAATAAGGAGGTCAAACCAGCATTCGTGATGGATGTTTTCAACCATTTTGAGTCCCTGTCTTCCTGCTTCCAAAAAACTCTGGTGTTTGTTTTTGTTTCCATGACAGATTTTGAGGTTATCTTCTACCCTGATCCAAAACATAAACTTAGATTATAAACTTATTACCACTGACAAAATGACCCAAGCTGAAAGTAAAGGCTCTCTCACGGCTATTACCAAGAAGGCTGCAGAGTTTCAAGATTTTCTTTGAGTAAAACTTTATTTAATCTGTAAATATAGATGGAGAAGAGCTTCTGACTGCATCAGGATTAGGCACAAACACCTTGAGTGACTTTAAGGGTTACTCCTGCATGACTCCATCCAAAAAGGAAAATCACCAGGATTCTAATTTTTAAAAAAGTAAACCAAATGAGAAAAGTTTTTATTGATTACACAGTCAATTCAGGAAAGTTCACGTATTTTCTATTAAAAAGGCAGCACAGACTCTGGCACTGCCTTAACTACATGTGGACCAGATATACTTACATGCACAGTCATCTATCAAAGGGTGAAGGAAAAACAAGGAGGCGACAATTGGTGCTAAATTCTATCTTCAGCAGGACGAGGTGACTAGCTCCTTCCTGCACCTGCCATGGCAGCTAGGTAAGTATGACTGATCATGAAGGATCGTGTAGCTTTTCATGATTTAATAACGTAAAACACACACACAAATGTATGTGTATGCAATCAGCTGTGTGTGTTCATGTTAATTAGGGATGTGCATAGAGCTGTTCGATATAACGATAAATATCAGATGACGATATAAAAAGTCTATCGTTTCATTTTACGCTATCGTTTGTTTCGTGGTGTCGCAAAATAAACTGTTTACGGCAATATTTTTTCATCGGTCACTGTAGTGGCTAT